AATGGAGAAAAGGGAAAAAAATACAGACAAAGAGGAAAAACAAACAGCCTGACAAGCAACTCCCTCTAGTCTTAATCACTCTGGCAACTCTTGATCATCCTGGCTCTTGTTCAGAGTGGTTGCTATTGCAGCACTACACCCCACGTGGGACTCCCAAGCCAGCTTGAAGTTCAGTGATCCCACACCAAGCTGCGCAAAGCAGTGCCTCGGTATCTCCCTGCTGTTGGGTAGTGTGCATGGTGGGGATGCCAAATGTTGAACGTGTTTTCAGGGTGTATTACTTGCAGACATGAGCTGCCAGGTGGTTTGCAAGCACCATACCTGCATCTCAGACAAAATCAGGAAAGGACAAAAGGGGATGTGCACCAGTTGTGGGGGATCAGAGGAAGAGTTTTCCACTGTATTACCTGTGCAGATGTGTCACTCATGCAGCCACTAAAACACACCATTTCTGGCAAGATAACCTAGGGTTTATATATATGAAAAATAGATTATTGTACATGGTGACTTCCTGAATTATAATGAGCTTGACTTCCAAGCAAGAAGCTTTTGAGAATGCATGAGTTCTCTAATTTACTCTCCTGTGCTTCAATAATTTCTCTTGTTTTCACAGGCCGATGCTGGCTGGATGCTTTGGAACTCGCCCTGCGTTGCTCCAGCCTCTTCCGGCTCAGTGCCTCCAAGCAGGGAAAGGATGGGGAAATGAACTGCTCAAGCGATTCGGCGCATGCAGGGCTCAACCACCTCTTACAGACGAGCCCTATCTCAGACCAGGAGTTCTTCCAGTAAGATGGGGCTATCGCTTCTTAATGCAGAGAGGTGTTGCATGGCTCACGCATGGGCATTCTTTTAACTTCAGTGTAATCTAGACAGAATCCGCTAAGGAGACCTGTTTAAAAGCCACCCTGTGTGTTCTTCTGCTGCATCCATCACTGATGTATGGGTTTGGTGTATATGGGGTTTGTTGTCACCTAATGCTTGAGCATAGAACAATTATTTTCTGTCCCCTGTTTGGGCCAAAATGCTGTCTGGAGATGCTGGCGTGAAAAATGGCTTGTCTGAGTAAAGACTGCGGAATCTAGCTACTAGAGTAGTGGTTACACAGACGCAATCATTAACAATGTCTGTCTGTCAGCTAGCACATATGGCTCAGTCTGATCTATTTTTCCATAATGTGTTCTCTTTTCTAATAATACTGTGTCATAGTCAACAGAGCGCACACACTGCATCCTTAGTTTTATAATTACTTTCTCTCTCCACAGGGATTTTGAGTGGTTTCCAGTTTCTTCTTTGATGCATCAGATCAATTTTTACATAAGGGAAAAAAGTTCCTACAGCTTTCTTTCTATTCATATTCCTAGTATTACTGCAGCATTTTGGAAAAACTCACATCAAAGCTCTGTAAGCATTAAAAAACCCCTGGCTTTATTTGTTGCCTATAGCTAAATAGTCAGCTTCAAAAATCCCTCTGGTATAGACACTTGTCCCTTGGAGTAGGAACTGGGACGTGTAGTGTCTTTTTCTGTTTCTGTTGGTACGAATTTGACTCTTAGGGCTCCCAGCAATGCACCATTGGTTACATGGTTTTTAGGGTAGCAATTCTTGCAGTCTGCAAAGATGATGCCTTGCGCAGTGGGATCTCACCTTTAAGTGTTCTTCTTAGGCTCTGTTATAACAACAGCAGGGATCTGAGTCCACTTCAGCGTGTCGAGGTGTCTCTGGTCCCTCGGGACCAAAGGGATGGCAGCCTTTTGGTCTGCCCTCTGGTATTCCCAGCATGCGTTCTCCAGTCCTGCTGTTAGGGTTTTTAGCTAGAGTTTGAAGAGCTTTGCTGAAGAGCAATGGGAGAAGGAAATCTGATGTGTTACCAGGGTGTGTGCCCTAGTACTTGTGCAAGTACTTCTACTGTTCTTGGGCTTCTTCCATATTACTTTACTTTCTAATGTGTTCCTGCCTAGGAGAGTCTTTGAGGACTGCGTTCACTGTGATAATGAATCCAGGAATGCAGTGGACTTGTTTTTCAGCTGATGGATGTGTGTATAAAAATCCAATATTAAAATGGAGCCTGTGGCACTGAGAACATTCAGGCAGACACATGGCTACTGTACCGAAGTGCAGAAGATAGTTAAAATTGTGTGAAAGTATTTCTTCAAAACATGATGCATAAATGGCGTATTTCTTCAAAACATGATGCCTTTGTTTCACCTCTTAGCTGTTCAACATTAAAAGCCCTCTTGAATTATGGGGCTCAGCAGTAGCACATGTGGCAGAGTTAAAAAAATGCACAATTGGAACCAGATTTTTCTGACAGGCTCAGATTTTAGCTGAGTCTGGTTCAAGCTGGGTGTTCAGCATCTGGTTGTCTGGACAACACACTTTCTGAGTCCTACCACTGGTTTTAATGTGTGCTGAGACTTTCCGCAGTGCTTAAAGCCCAGGGGAGTTTGATGGTTGTGGGGCAGGGAGACGATTTGCTGTCATCCCTGGAGGAATAAAGAACATTTAAACAAGGGAGAATGCAAAACAAAAACTGTGCAAGTGCTGAGCAGAGAGTTTTTGGTTTGCCACTGACAGTGGCTTCCTCATAGGGATTCAATCATTCTAATTAAATGCCTTCCCTACAGGGAATGTTACCAATTAAATTGGCGTGCTGTTGTTAGGGGACCAGTTAATTACATTTAACTCTATCTTCAAATTAGCCAAACTACTGTGTCAGAAAAAGAAGAAGAAAAGGGAGATGATGGATATTATAGGGAGGACAAAACCCAAGGGAGTTGGCAAAGGCGAATCTTCCATTGAGCCAAAGTTGCATTTGTCTGCTGGCTGCTTTGCTGCTTTCCTGCTGGGAAAGAAGTCAAGATTATATGGTGATTTTAATATCTGTGTCTTTAGTAGCGTGTAAAAATGAGAGGGAGAGAACTCTGCAAGTGAATCAAAGGCTAAACTACTGTGTAAAGCTGTGATTTTAGATGAGAGGCCTTTAGGGCATCAGCACTCTTCTTTTTAATATGAAGTTATATTTCTTGTGGCTTCCATGTCTTCTCTCCAGCAACCCCAGGAATCTGGCTGGTTTACTTGTTTGACAAGAGCCAAAGGTTTGTTTTTTTGTTGTTTTTTTTTTTTTTGCTTTGTGTAGAAGAGCAGTATCAAACCCAAAGAAGTCCTGGTCACTGACTGAAGTTTCCAGGAAAAAAATGCCCCTAGAGAATAAAGCACTGGTATAAGACAGCTCCAATATGCTGAAACAGTAAATTAGCCGTGAAAAATGCCAAGTTATTCATGTTCATGGTGGAAATTCAGGGTTGACTTTTAGCATAGCCATTCCCTCCCACCTTTTAAAGCCTGGTCCAAATCCTATTGGAAGCCCCTGGGAAGGCTTTATTTAGTTCATGCTCATGACATGACTTTTGTTTTTAGCATATTGTATGTATTCAGTGATGATAAGGTTTGGAAGAATAGAAAAGCCTGGCTCCACTTCAACATCTCAAATTTGTTCCTCAGAATGAGGAGCATCTGTTTTCCCTTCCGTTCCCCAGAGCATCTCCTTGGCTCTGCATGTGTTAAGTCTTGCCTTGTTTGTGGCTGGTGGGTAATCAGTGCACAGTTGAGTGGGATTTCGTGTGAATTTAATTCCCTCCTGGACTAAATCTGAAGTCAGTAAAAAACAATGAGGGGGAGCAGAGGAAACCAAGAAAAGAGTCACTCGCTCCACTGAAACTTCAGTTATTTCCCAGATGTGAGGCACGTAACACTGGAAAACACTTGCTCTTCTTACAAAGGTGAAATAGAAACAAGTGCTACTTCTCAGCCATGAACCATAAGCCTTATAATAAACTGTTCTTTCAGGCATTTTTACCCCATGGAGAAAACTTTCACTAGGTAAGGGAGCATAGCAACCACAGACAAACACACACATATTTAGCTGTGTCGCGACCCAGCACACAGAACCACC